CTCCTGATCGTTCTGAAGGTAAAGTGAAAGCCACACGTAGATTTGTTAAATGAAGAAAAGTTCACTTTTATCTAATGGTAAAAAAACCGACCAATTGGAGGTAAAATGAAAGTGACATGTTAACTATTGTTTGTTATCGCCACATTCTTATAAACTTGTAACTAGTTTTTGTGTGCATTCAAAGAACTCCGACTTTTCCATTTCTCGGTTCGAAACTCATGTTTGGTCCTTTTGTCGTTTCTTGATTTCAGCTCTTGATTGAGCCAATTCAAAGTAGAGCCACAATGATATATATGTTTTAGAACTTGAAATCAGTAGTCGACTCTAAATTGGTTAAACCAATTGCATACACGTGTATGTATCATGAATCTTGTGTACCTAACACCAGACATGATAATTCATTTCCTTACAGATATGGAAACTGATCAGCTCCAGGTGCCAGCAAAGACCAAGCAACCTAACAAGACTGCTTTACAAAAGAAGTCGCAGACAACTCTTTCAGAAATAGCTGATGATGATGATATCGCTGATGTTGAGGTCATTGATGATGGTGAGAAGAAAAAGAAAGGAGGTGGCAGAAAACCGGCCAACTCAAAAGCGGCCAAACCGCCACTTGGCGGCACCAAGAAAAGAGGACCCGCAGCAGGTAGCAAAAAGAGCTTAGGACAGAAGTTGATATCTGAGGTTCTGAAGCTAGTTGAGAATTCTCCTGAAAGGAAAGTGAGGAAAATGAGGTCTTCACCTTTTAACAAGAAAAGCAGCTCGGTTCTTGGAAAAACAATCAGTCTCGATAACGATGATGATGATGATGATGTAGAGGATTCTAGCATTGGCAGTACAATGGAGGCCAGGCAAGAAGATGTGGTGGTGGCCCAGAGAGCCAGGCCTCAGAGAGGGAACAAGACAAAGGCAAGCTATGTTATAAGTGATGATTCTGAGAGTGATGATGCTGAAGATGTTGATGTGGTTGAAGATGTTGATTTCGACGATGACTCTGACTTCAGTGGTGATGACTGAATTTTTTTTGTTTCTCTTTTATTATTTGTTCACTGTTATGTGAATTTGGGTGATTGGAAAAGAATTGTTGGAACTTTTGAAACTCAATTCTATGAGTGGATTGTTGTTTTAATGCAGAATGTGGTGGTTTGCACTCTTTTAGCTCTTTAGATGAAGTTCTAATCGGTTGACAATTTTCAAAACACAAAAACGTATATAGGAGGGATAAAATCAAATGATTTGTTGTTTAAAAATGGCAGCCGGTTTACAGTAATTAAGTTGTAAGAAATGTAATGGTGATAAAATGGTGGGAATGTATATGACTCCCTGGTGGCCGACCTGTTTTTTGATGGAATTTTCAAATTTAGAAGCCTCGATCGATCTGTTGTTCTGTTTTCATTGTCGGGACGATTGTTGTGGCTAAAGTTTGTTTGTAGAGAGGGATGTGTTAAGTTTATGTATTGTTGATTTTGTGTTGTAGCTTTTATATTAATTTTGTTTGTGTTTGGTAGTCTCCCGTCAGATTTTGTTAAACATGATCACAATCACTCATGGTCATTTCAAAGAATTGGTAAAGTGCATTTTTTGACCGGTTATTTTTTAATAAAGAAATTAATTCATTTATTAAACATATCATTGTGAGAACGAAATAAAATGAATAAAATGAGAATGGTGTCCTAATATAAAGGAATGAAATAACATATTATTATCCCAACGTAAAATAAATGCAAAATAAAATGACCCCGAATGGTCATCCTATCATTTTCACATCATGTGTAGGTTGTAAACCTGCAATTGCCTCCACCACTATTTAATTTAGACTTCTCGAGGTATTTTTTTTAGAATTTTAATTTTAAAATCCTGAGGTATTTAATTATTTGAGATTAGAATTTGTTAAGGTATTTTAAAATTTATTGGGATTTATGAAGAAAAAAACATATAAGAAATCTCACTCCAAATCCCACTTGTAGACTAAAGATTTCACAGGAATCTTTCAAAATCAGAAAATCTTAGGCTACATTTGGATTGAAGGATTTATTGAGGGATTTGAAATCTATGTTTGTCCCATTTTTGTTATTTTTGTACTTATTTTGCTTTTCTTTTTTCCCCGTTTTAGGTCTTTCTTTCGTTTTTAGTTCGTCTCGTGTTTTATTATGAGTTTTTCCCCGTTTTATTATGGGGTTTCCTTCATTTTGAGTCTTTAGGTGTTTTTCGTTTGTTTTTCCAATTTTTTTTTACTTTGTCGTTTTTGGTTTGTAGGTCGAGAGCTTCGGAAGAATTATCTTTTCAAGAAAAATTGGTTTCGAGAGCATCATTGGATAGATTGGTTCGTTAGAAACACGTAGGAAAAAACGGAACTCAATTCCGAGTTCAGACGAGCTCAAACGAGGCGAAAACGCAAAATGGTGCAGTGCAGCCCGGGTCGCGAGCCGCGATCCGCGACCACAACCCCACGCCCAGCCGCGCCGCGCGACCCGCGAAAAAAACAGAGAAGGCACGCCCGAAATTCTGCGACCCGTGACCTGCTCTCGCGACCCGCGACCTGCTCTCGCGCCCAGCGTCCCCCGCATGCGCCCTGCTGCCAACCCCACGACCCGGGAAACTCGCGAGTCGCGACTGAGTCACCCTTGTTTTTATTTTTCTCCATTTTTACACGTTTTAGCTCCGTTTTTCGAGCACTATATATCAAAATGATCCTTAGACTCGTGGGAACAATCTCCAATATTGTTTTTTCACTTTCTATAAATTTTAAATTTACAAGTTCAAATCCCCATGCAAGTTGTAATGGTAATAGAAGTTGGAGGATTTCAAATTCATGCTAGATATTCTTTAGTCATTATTTTGAAGGGTTTTATATGACTCCTCAAACCTAGTCATTTAAAATCCACTGTTTATCACCGTTGACGACCACGCGGTCCTCGATTATTTAGGTTCATCACCACCGCGAGTGAAAACCATCAGAGCGAGCTGGATAATTGATTTATAATATTTTCAAGACATCCATTCAAGTAGTGTGCAAGTAAAAATTTTATATTTAAAACATTTTGAAATCAAGGGATTTGAGATCCCTCAAAACAAACGTAGTCTTAGAAAAATTTGAAGTATCAAAAAGTCTCTAAAGGCTCGAAATGTCAAACGAATATTATTCTACGGCTTAACACGTTCTGAAATTATATATAAGAGAGATTCATGTCCAACGGCTTGTTGGAATGCAAAACCAACTTTATTAAAGTGGGGATTTGAAAAAATCATTGAATTTATAAACGGGTCTAGAGAATCAAACTGGACCAAATCGAAAATAACCGGTTCGGTTCGGTTATTCTAAAAAAAAAACGTATTTTTCAGTTCCCCTATTTTTTGCACAAACCGTTTTGGTTCCCGCTTCCAGTCCAAATTTATGTGTATTAACCGAGGAACCGACTATATATGTGAAATATGCATGTTTTATATGTTTATATATGTGAATCGATTTCGGTTCTTGGTATTTAATGTTTGGTTCTTCATTTTTGTATTTCGGTTCTCGATTTTTCATGATACTTTAAGCATGTGAGTTGTAATTTTTTTGATCGGTTCTTAACTCAAAACCAGTTATTTTCGGTTATTTTTCATTATTCGGTCACCCGAAGAACCAAAAAAACTGAATCGTTACTTTTACAATTCCTGCAAATTTTTATATGTTAACCGAACCAGTTATTATGTCTTAGTTCCGGTTCTAGTTCTTGAAAAATATCTTAGATTCTGGACCGGTCCCAGGCCTAATATTTTATAGGCCCGCCAAAGAACGGGCCTAAACGAGCTAGCCCGCGCGGCCGCGGGCCAGCCCGCCATTACCAAAAAAAAAAAAAAAATTGTTTATACATTGTCTGTAAATTGTACACGCTTCTTCCTTCTTTTGATTTTTTTATTTTTTTTCATCGAGTCCCAAAACAGAGAGTGAAGAGACGGGCCTGTGCGTAATTTGTAAACCCTAAACTCTCAAGTCTCAACTCTCATTCTCTCAAGACTCAACCTCCCGGCGTGCAGCGACCTTGGAGCAGCGGCGGCGGCGAGAGGCGAGACCTTCGACCGAGCGGTAAACGGCGAGAGTCTAGAGACCAGTGTTCTAAAAGTCGCTAGGCGCCCGCTAGGCGCTCGACCAGTGCCTAGCGCCTAGAGCGCCTAGTCGCGGCCTAGGCGGCGCCTAGTCGGGGCCCAGAAATCAATAGTAAATACCTTATTTTTTTATTTATTTTAACTACTTACAAAATAAAATTATCTCAACATATAATAAATTCACACACCAAAGTTCAAATAATAATATTAATATATATTAAAGAAAACATGAGAACAAAATAATTTAATTAATATTTAAAAAATAAAAAAAAATTAAAAAAAAATTGAAAAATTGCCGCCGAGCCCGCCTAGGAGCGCCTAGGTCCGCCTACGCCCGCCTAGATGCCGCCTAAACGTCTGGCCGTCGAGCCCGCCAAGACCGCCTAGGAGTGCCAAGGAGCGCCTAGGGCCACCTAGCCGCCTGACCGATTTTTTCTGCCGATTTGTACAAATCGGAGGCGCCCGGGCACCGCCTAGCGCCTAGGCGCCGCCTAGGCTGATTTTTAGAACAGTGCTAGAGACAAGGCAGACAGGGGAAACGATAAGGCAACTTCTATTTCGGTAATGATGGATGTTTGGATATGAATTGTATTGTGTATGTTACCCATGTTTGCTCTAATTAGTGTCATTCCTCTCAGTTTTTTTGGATTTCTTAAACTCCCGCTTGTATTCTGTTTGTCCGTTCCCAATTTTTTTTTTTTTAATTAATTGGGCTAGCCCGCGGCCCGCGGCGGAGTTGGGCCGAGCTGCCATTTCACAAGCCCGCCGAAATGACAGGCCGGACCGGCCCGCTAGCCCGTTTTGACATGTCTAGGCAGAATGTGAAAAGTTGGTTTGTATGGTAACAAAAGCGACAGGATAATTTGAAACGGAAAAAAGTTTTTTGTCCAAAAATTAATTTAGGGTAATAGCTATTAGCCGGCCCGACGACTCTTGAGTCTTGAAGTGTACTACTAACAAATAACAAATAAGGTAGTCTGAACCTCGCTGCTTTTTCACTAGCACAAGCCAACCTCGATCCAACCATATATTCTATTCATAATTTTCACGAACTCCGTCCTTTATTAATTGAAGATTTTATCTCCCGGTCAGAGATTGATTAAATCGGTTAACTAGATTTTTTTTTTTGTTTTTATGATTATATTAATCCCTGAGCACAATTTTTTCTCGCTGATTTGAGTTTTTGAGCGGTATCGGCGCTTCTGAGCAATGGCGGGCATAGCAATATTGGATCTACTGAGAAGAAACCCGAATTTTGGTAGCCAACCGATTAATTCGAGAGGTCTGTTATCCGTGAAGCTGGTCGGAGCTACCTCTGCTGCCGCTGCTTCTTTCGCCGTTACAACCCCTTTTGCTTTCGGGGGTTTGTTCGGGTAAGTTCCTTTTCTCGTTTTTGCTTTGTATCTGTATGTTGGTTTGTCCTTATTTCATTGACTGTTACATTTCTGAAACAATCGCATTAACATTAGTCGGCTGTGGTTGGTTTATATTCCGATGTGAGAAATTTAGTTCAATTTGGTTAGCATTTAATTTAGGAGTGTTTGCAGATTGCGATTTTTTTAAAGAAGAGGAAGAATCTTTCCACCTATTTATTCTATTGGAATTGTATTTCATGTTTTGTGGTGTCTGGTTGGTTGCTGTGGTAGTGCCATGTGTTAGACAGTGATAAATTGAGAGGGAACTCTAGAGAAAGTGTAGACTTTACCATGTTTTTAGCAAGATCGATGTTATTTTTGGTAGTTCCTTGTTATATTTTATGACTAACCCGTTGGTGTAGGCTAGTGGGGTGGATGATGGTAGGGCATGGAGAGGTTATGCTTGAGGATCACTTTTAAAAAATGTGTGCTTTGGATTTAACTCATGCAATAATTGCCTTTGGACTGCCTATTTTGGTTTGCTATCTGTACTTTGTTGAATTATCACTTTGAATGGAGATTTTGCTGTTCACACACTGTAAATTGGGTGTGCGAAGTAAGAACAGTTGTTCTTGCTAGTATAATTATTCATTGGTTTTCTTGTATCTGAATTGTCACTTTTTGATACTCACTAGATTCTAATACCAGTGAGCTTTGGTAAAACTATATCACTACTTTGGAATAAAAATACATCAAATTAGCCATTATGAGAAGAATTTATCCATTATTACCATTGCTGTTTCTTAGTTATATTTTCCTGCCTTGGGAACTTGTTTCGTTAACGATTCGGAAGTTATTGATGCATTCTTGTATGAAACTGAAACTGCTATGTATCAGAAATGGTGTCCCACGGGTCGCCTACTGTGATGCTGGCATGGAAGCTTTAAGCGAAGATTACATTTCCCACATACGGACTGCATCTGGGAACATATTTCAGAGTGATGCTTTGATATACAGCACCAAGCAATATGATATTCAGTTGAAACCGCTTTTGTCTGCCTTCCACTGGAAAACTTTTGCGCTGACATCACTGAGGTCCTTTCTATTGTTTTATTTGCCACTTGTGGAGCCCCGCGGACTCAAGGAAGAGGACGATGATGATGATGACGATTTTCTTAAGCCCGAGGGGAAGCCAGTTGATTTGGTTGTTCCGTTTAAGAAATCAGTGAAACAAATACTTCGTGAGGTAATAGATAATAACTTTTATTGCTGCCGGCTTTTTTACAGAAGTGCTTATAGGCAGATAATAAGCTTAGAAATTGTGGAGTCTTGTCTCCTTAAATGTATTGCTGGTCCCCTCTCTCTTCTCTCATGCTTGGTAAAGCATTTTTTAATATTTTGGTTCACAAGTATTATTTAAGAATATGTTACGTAGCAAAATCCACTTTCTGATATGACATGTGACTTCAAGTGAAGCAGCTTTCACTTTTTGCTAATCCTTTCAGCTAGCAAGAATCGAGAATCATGCTAGCTTAGTTTTTGAAATTTAGTAGGGAAGTCTATTGTATTGAGTTCACTGAATGCTTATAGGAATTAGACTAACCTCAGTTGTATGGTCAGACAAGTGTAGTTACTACGAGACGTGTTCTGGAAAGGCTTGCGGTTCATTATGTTTCACAGCGGATGGCCTGGAAGCTTCTCAAAGGTATATTATTTCTTCACTCAGTCGATTTCGCATCAAAGGGTTTTAATTTTATGCACCTGCCTTGTATTAATTACACTCCATCAACTGTCACAGATGTTCCCCAGTCGGCCACTCGCAAGGCTACAAGAGGACTGCCAACCACGACTTACTTTTTCCGCGTCAGCAGAACCACTCTAAGAGGTTTTCTTTATTTTTGAAAAGCCCGACTATTCCAAAATTGCATATATCCCCAGAATTTGTTTCCATGATACAAATTACTTTCACATGAGATGTTTCTATTAAACTAAACCTCAAGGTTATTGTTTGTAATTATCAACTCCTTTTTTTTTTTAATCTTGT